CACAGTCATCCTCTGATTAACAGTAGACATATGTCATGATCTTGTGAATTAGAATTTTACTTACGTGTCGTGTTCTCATTGTGGACATTCCTCTTATATAACAAGAAAGATGTTATTTTTTATGTGGACATCTAATCTAGTAAAGGTTATAAGGTGATTTTATTTTTGTTCTTAATATTGCAAATCACGGATAGATATCAATATTTAACACGTTGAATAGTAATATAGAATTGAAAAATAATAAATTAGTAAAACTGCTTTAAACCTTCGTTATTGGTTTAATATTTAGTACGTTGAATAGTAATATAGAATTGAAAAATAATAATATAGATATTACACGAAAATATAATCCGATCAAGAACAACGATTGATACAATCAATTATTGGTTTGTGCTTGTTGCATTATGTCTTCTAAGAGGAATGTGATATTAGAATGAGAAGAGCCTCCTTCCTCCACAGCTTTGTGAGCTAACTCTCCAAGCTCTTTGGCTCTTCTTCTTCTCACTTTTGCATCATCACTATCCCCCATTAGTTCTTCAACTACCTTCTTCACTCCTTCTTTATCCACCAGTACTATTTTATCCTCTTCTCCCCATAGCATGGGCTTTTCAACTCCGGCTCTGACTCCAACTTTTAGTACCTGCACCGCGAATTTCTCGTTGCAGAATTGGTCTCCAAACAACGGCCATGTGAGCAATGGAACTCCCGAGGTGATTCCTTCGAGAGTCGAGTTCCATCCACAATGTGTCAAGAATCCTCCAACTGCGGGATGTGAAAGGATAAGCATTTGAGGCGACCATCCTCTTATGAGAAGACCTCTCTCTTCGATTCTTTCTTTGAACCCGCTCTCCGAGATCCACTCAAATAACTCATTATACTTCTCCCAACCTCTTATGACCCAAATGAATGGTCTTTGGGATTCCTCAAGGCCTAGCCCGATCTCTTTGAGTTGAGACAGAGGAAGATTGCATGAACTTCCAAGGCAAACATATAGCACCGACCCATCTTCTTTAGTATCTAGCCATTTAGTACACTCGTCTTGATCAATGGCTGCCTTGTTTCCCCTTTCCGCTTTGTCTGCTCCTACCTTGTTGCACAAGGAAACCGGTCCGATGCTCCATACCTTACCATCCTTAACCTTCTTGTAGTCTCTAACATANGCGGGCTCGAGCTCTTCAAACGTGTTGACNATNACACCATAAGAAGTGTTATCCGCNTCTNTCATTTCGTCAAAGAACTCTTTCCAATCTCCACCAGNCTGAACCATCGAAAGCTGAGATTTTGTGAACTCAACTCTGTCAGGAAAATTTGGAATGGGGAAGTATTCATTCTCTGACTCTATAGTTTCCCAAAACTCGTAGTTTTGACGCATAATGTGCAAACAAATAAGATTGAAGCAACACATGCCATGAAAGACGATCTTTGGTATACCAAATTTCTTGGCAATCCTGTTTGTGTAAGGCAAACACATGTCGGCGATTATGCAGCTTGGCTTAGGGTCAATCTCTTTCAAAAGCTTCTCTACCGGTTCCTCAAGCATGCAAGTTGCTTTGAAGAAGGATACAAACGACTCCATTGAATCGATTAAGTCCAAATTCTCAAGTCCTTGAGATGGAAACTTCACTTGGATAAGATTGATGGGCAAGCCGGACTGGATGGCCCGGTTAAGAACGTTCTTGAACCGGCTTGCGTTGTGAGGCGTTGTGACAATGGTTATGGTTACACCGCGCTGAGCCAAGAGCCTCGCAATATCGACCATGGGAATCATGTGGCCTTGAGCCATGAAAGGGAAGAGAACAAAGTGAAGAGGAGAATGAAGTTGTTGGGTTGTTTTGGAAGCCATGAGGAGCTCTCAAAAGTTCTTATTTTGCTTTGATTCTGATTGTGTGTTATGTACTATATATATTTATTGTTGACTCATAATAATTGACAAGAAGAAAAAATAAATTTCGAATTCAAGATAAGACGAAAAGTGATGTGACATGTGAGAGAGAGAGCATACACAAGTTGGACTTATCCATACAAAACACAATATGGTTCACAAAGATTAGTACTGTACATTTCGTGGCGGGCACTCATATGTCCTCTGTATTAAGCCAAAAAATAATGGGAAAAAAGAAATAGAGAAACCAAACTTGACTCTCTATTTCTCTATAAAGACAACAACGTAACCATTTGGATTGTGGGTTAATATGGTTCGACCGGATTCAACCAGGTTTGATGATATTTTAAAATTATTAGTATACTTAATTTTATACTTTTCTAAGATCATACAAAACACTTAAATAATTTTAAAACTTTAGAAAACTTAAATAAAGAATACACATAAATATCATAAATTTTAAAAACCAATTAATTCTAATAATTTCGGTAATTTAATCAAAAAGTTAAGAGAACAAATATATAATCTTTCTAATATGTACCTTATAGTTTAATCTTTAGTGATGGCTATTGAGTTTCAAAATAAAAAACTCGAAAAAATTAGAAAAATAAATATAATTAGAAGAAATGTAAACGTTATTACTCATTTATAAATTCTGTCTTTACATTTTTAGTTAT